TACATCCCCATTTCTGAATTACCTCTAAATGTGTACAAAACACAAATTATTATTAACATTGAATCCCACACTCAAACTAGAGTAAAAAAAATGTACGATAGAACAAGAAAAATATTTTACCATCCTAAACCGGATGAAAATTTCATGATTAACATTTTAAAAGATCATATACCATATAAGGGAATAATTGATATAATGATTGATAACCTACCAACATACAATAAATTTCAAAACGTTTATTTAAAACATTTTTCAAAAAATAAACTATTAAAATTAAATAAATGTTCATTTCTACTTGAAGACATTTTATGTCGACATGAATTGCAAGAACTTATTCTTGACCAACACCAAAAATCAAATCATAGAGGTATCAATAATGTCTATCAAAATTTAAAGAATAAATATTACTATCCTAAATTAAAACAAGAAATCCAAAAACTACTAAATAATTGCCACATATGTAATGTAGCAAAATATGAAAGAAAACCCTTAAATATACCACTAAAAATTACTGAGACTCCTTGTAAAGCACTAGAAATAATCCATCTCGATATTTGGTTTAAAAGCAAAGGAAATGCTTACCTAACGGTAATCGACAAATTTTCAAAACATGCACACGTAATACCAATTAAGTCCAGAAATTGGAAAGATTTAAAAAATGCTTTTATGCAATACATCTCATCTTCTGGCAAACCTAAAAAAATTATAACAGATCAAGAAAAGGGTTTTAACAGTTTAAATTTCAAAAACTTTTTAGAAAATGAAGGAATTACGATACATTTTACCACACCCAATAACCACTCAAGTAACGGGGGTATAGAAAGATTCCACAATACGTTAAATGAGCATATCAGAATTTTATACCCAATACAAAAAGAAGAAAATTTACCTATGGATGAAGATCCAGTTATAAAAAGTGTAAAAATTTACAACGAAACAATCCATTCCGCCACAGGCAGAAAACCTATTGATTTTGTAAACGGTATCGTAAAAACTACAGATTCCCCGCCATTCACAAAAAATTATTATCATCTAAAATCAAAAAAAATAAATAGTATTAATTAAAAACGAAAAAAAGAAAAAGCATCTACTTATCTTAAACTTAATAGAATAACCAAACTTCAACCTCTGCATAAAAAAATTAAAATCGAGAAAGAAAGTGATTCTCATTTTAAAATTGATAACGAAAGCTATCCTCGGTATTTCAATCAATTCAGGAAAAAATTTAAATTTCAAAATTAAGACGAAAGTTCTTCTTCTATAAATTTTTTAACCTAACAAATTTTACAACATCAAAGTACCATATGATTAACAAACTTGACAGTCTTAGATTTGATTTTTCGTTACATTTTTATACAATAACTCTCGTTACCTTGATTAAATGCATATAAATCCATACATCATAATTCTGTCATAAAATTTTCTGATCTTAATGTCTAAATAAAAATCTATAATAACTACCAATACTAACAACAACTCTGTAATTTTTATTTTAAAAGCAAAATAAAAAAAAAACATAAAAATAAAACCATTTTAGCTTATGTCAGCACTAATTCAAAAAAAAATTTTTTAAACTTATTAATCTTTTAAAATTGACAACAAAATTTCTACTTAATCATATTACGAGTACATCAGATATAAATTCTTACTGAAATGATTTTGTACTCCTTCAGCTCTTATTTTTATTATAATCGTATTTTGCAACATAACTCACATTAATTGCTCATATATCGAAATTAACGAACTACAAAATGGAAATGGTTATATCTTATTACAAGACTCCGAATTAAAAATTGTAAGAAATTTCGAAAAAAACATTGCGTGTTGTAGATTTAAATTTATATGAAGAAACTATTAACAAAATTCAAACTAATATAATCCACCTCCATTAAAAAACAGAAATACTCACTAATCTTTTACACAATTTTGAACATTTAAAAGAAGAATTTAAGACACTAATTCCCCATCATGTACACAAAAGGGGTTTGTTTAGTTTTGTTGGTAGCGGTCTTCATATTTTAGCTGGGGTAATGGACGACGACGACAGAGTAGAAATAGAGCAACACTTTGACATATTATAAGGCAATAATGATAAAATAACTAAAAATTTAAGTCTACATTAATACAAAAAGTCTACATTAATACAAAATTATCGGATCAAATTCAAAACATAACCGATCATATTAATAATGTCCAGAGTAAAATTAAAGAAAGTATTGATGAATTAAAGAATGATATAACAAAAATTGATTTAAAATTAGAATTGTTAAGTATTAAATTAGAGTTAAATGAGAATATCAATACCATATTAAACCAAATAAAAAGTTTTAAAGAAATTATATTAACCAGTAGACTTGAAATATTATCAAAAAATATTCTTACTTATGAAGAAATTAAATTTTTAAATATTACCATAGAAATGTTACCATTTATAAAAAATGCTGTGTTATTTAAAGAAAGCAATATTATTTTTACGCTTTCAATCCCAATTTTTTCACAAGAAACCTGTTTTAAAACTTTAATTGTAAAAATTCCAAGTAAAAATAATAGCTAAGAATTAGATACCAAAATAAATAAAATAATTACTTGCAAGCAAATTGTTTTTGAAGATACTGAGAAAAAAATTATAACAAAAACAGATCTAAAACGCTTTAATGATAGTTGCATAGCAAATTTACTAAACGTAAAGAAAATGAAATGTAATTACTTTAAGAATTTAACTAAGGATATTTTTTCATTAACAGACAATGTAATTGTAACGAAAAACTTAGAACAAACCTTATTAATCAATAATTGTGAACAACAAAAAGAATTTAAAATAAAAGGTAATAATATTGTAAAGTTCGTAAATTGCAATGTTGCTATCGATAATTTTATTCAGGAAAGTTATCAAAAACAATATTCAGCCAAAATATTGCCGTATATAGAACGGGACATAACGATAGAAAAAATAAAAACCAAATTTAACTTAGAAGATCTATACCTCAAACACATTAATAATACTGAAATAATAGAACAATTGGAATACTCTCACACAGTGAAGTGGTACACGAGTGTTGGGACCGATTGTATAATCTATATTATATTTTACAAGATTTTTCCAGTTCATGAACAGGTATACATATAATCTAATAAATAACAAAAACAAAAAAATGAAAATAGTAAAAGAGAATACTGGGTAGATACATTACTCAATTGATTATACATACTGTAAAACAAAAACAAAAAATGAAAAGCGAAAAGCGAAAGAGAATAAAAAAAGAGTAGTAATATTTTTTTTTTGTTTTTTGCTTTACTACCATAAACAAAAATAAAAAGCAAAAGGAAGCGAAATATTTTAAATGAGTTAAGTAAGAGTAAAATAATTTTTTGTTGTTGTATTTAATATGGAATGGAATTAAAAAAAATAAAACTAAAAATTGTGAGAGATATTAGAACACGAATAATGTTACGTTACGTACTTATCTAGATAACGTTGTTTAGAAGGAAATTTTTCATTCTTAATTGTTAACTAATTCTTAAATTGAACTTTAATCATATCTATGTAATTAACAGTGACACATATTACATCTTAAAATTTATTAAATTAAAAATATTTCCATTACTTTTATTTATCATTAGTATTCAAACCAATATGATATTTATGCATATACAGGTATATACCTGCATATGTATGCCATAATATTTACAAATTTTTCTAAATTTATTTTAAAATTGATTGCCACAATCCTGTTTTTACAACAGATAATGCTGCTTATAAGCAAACCACGGGGGCCCCTAGTAGTAGTAATTTTAATCGTAATTTTTTTTCTTGTGATCTATTTTAAATGTCACTTAACTCTTCAAAACCCAAACTAAATGTTGTTTTTAATAAAATCCGCACGGAGTCGGATCTTAAGGGCGGAGGTGCTACGTCACCACAATGCTTTACTCTGCATGATACGTGTAGTAAAACAGAATTTCCCATAACAAATTCAAATAAAGATTGCTCTCTACCTTTCCAATAAATAAAAATCGTTTTTATCAAATAAAATAAATTTTTTTCCTTTCGTAATAAAATTCTACTTGCACTTTTTAAAATAAACATTCGTTGCAATTTATCGAATTACATAAAATTTTAATTAAATTGTAATTAAGAATTTTATATAATAAACAAAAATTTGATATGAAAGAAAGTTAATAAAAAATAAAAAGTAAGTTAGTTCTAAGAAGCCATACGTGGAATTAACAAGTTTGTAAAATTAATAAAAATAATTTAAGTGAAAAATAATTTAAGTAAAAAATAATTTTAAATAAAAGAAAAAACTTTTGAATACAAAAAATAAAAAAAGTGTTTTTAATCCACGTAACAAAAAATACAGATCTTCTTACGCGAAGCGAAATCTTGAAATACGTAAGTATATTAATCAACCCATCCAATTCGCAGATGCATTTGCTCTTATAGTGGCGATGCTAGTTAGTTGCTTTTTTAGCTAAAATTACTCGGATCTCAATTTTTTGAAAAAGTTATTTTATTTCGTGCATGGTCGAAATATAAATATAGTACAATTTGTTTTTATTGAGTGTGTCATATTTTTTTGCTCTCAATTCTCTTCGATTTGAAAATTGAATCCAAATTTCAGTTTAATATAAAAATTTTAAGGTTTTAGTAAATTTTTTTGAGTAGAAACTCAAAATGAAAATAGGCAAAAATCTTAATTTTTTCATTCATTCGCAATTTTAACACATACTATTAACAAAAAAAGGCCTCGATATTTTTGGCTTTTTACTGTGTCAATGCAAATGAAACAACATTTTAAGAAAAAACACACAAAGCTAACTTTCTACCAAAATATGCTACCAAATTTCCTTATATCAGTATTATTTATCAACAGTCAAGAAACAATTTCTGACAGAACATCAATCAATCGTTTGATATCGTTTCAGTTAACATTGTTTCGCTAATAATAACTCAAAAAAAAACAAAAACAACCAGTTTAAAAATTTAATAAGTTAATTACCGTAGGTTATGGTAGACTTTTTTCTATCTATTTACTTTTCTTTTAACAACATCTTAACTATTTAAAGCTGTTTCCACACTCATTGATATCGTTGACACTGGTTCATCCCCTGTTAAACGTCTTTCCTCCATAGCTGATGGACCAGGTGATGATGGTGATACTGTTGTTGACGAATGTTGTGTTGTGGGTATTTGTTGTAATGAAATTGCTTGCTGTTGTGAATGCTGCGATTGTGTTTGTCTTAAAAAACGTATCGGAGCTGAACTATCACCAGTACGACTTTTATCACGATGTCCAAGCTATAAATATGTGCGGAAATATTTGTATATAAAATGAAAGTATATAAAATTGAGTTAGTTAGGTTTTATAACGATTATATTAATTTACACATACGAATAATATTATTATATTCGTATTAATTAGATATTTCATGTTTATATTCTAAATATACATGGATATATGTATGTGTGAATGTATTTATAGTAATTTCAATATAAGCGTATATAGGGTGTTTCGCATAAGGGGGAGAGACAGGTAGACATTTTTTTCTACGGAAGTAAGTTTCTAATAAATATCTATTTTCTAACTTTCTATCTTTAAGGGTGTAGAAGTTTTGTAAACAGACACACAGACAAACGGATGAAGTGACGGACGGACGGACTTGTGCAAAACTAATAAGCACTTTTTTTTTTAATTTTTTGGAAAAGTGCTAAAAAGGAAGATTATATATTTATTCTTTAAGAAGGTTATATATTTTATTTATTTATTTCTATACTTGTAGGTTCATTTATTCAAGTGTTCTTGCCCAGAATCAGATGCTAAGTCGACAAACCGTATTTGTCTGCCTGTCAGTCTGTAAATTGCTTATTTCAGAACGCAGACTTGAAATTTTGCATATATGCTTATTTCTACTTTATGCATATTAGTATTGCAAAAACATTAGACTAATTAGACTAATTAGACTAATTCGGACTGCATTAGAATTAGACTAGTTAGACTAATTCGGACAACGGGTTCGGGTAGCTGCCATAGAATTCAAAGAGTTTATTTTAAATATTTCAAAAACTAATAAAGGTATCAATATAAAATTTTGTACACATGTGCCCAATTATATTCCACATATGCTCTACATTTTAATGGGATAGCTGCATCGGTTCGGATGGCTGCCATACAACTCCAAAAGCAAATTTTTTATATTCGGCAAAATAATATAGTCAGATTCATGAAACTTGGCAGTCCTGTGTCCAATTATAATTTAAGAAAAATAATAAAGTCTGATTCATGAAACTTGTCAGTTGTGTGTCCAGTTATAGGTCAGATATATTTCTGAAATTTTGGTTAAATTGCTTGACAGGTTCGAGTGACTCCCATACAAGTCTAAAAGCTTATTTTAAAAATTTGGAAAAGTAATAAAGTCAGATTCATGAAACTTGGCAATCATGTGTCCAATTTTAGATCAGATATATTTGTGAAATTTTAGTTGAATTGCTTGACAGGTTCGGGTACCTGCCAAACAACTCCAAAAGCTAATTTTAAATATTTGGAAAAATAATAAAGTCAGATTTATGAAACTTGGCAGTTGTGTGTCCAGTTGTAGGTCAGATATATTTCTGAAGTTTTGGTTGAATTGCTTGACAGGTTCGGGTAACTCTCATACAACTCCAAAAGCTAATTTTAAATATTTGGAAAAATAATAAAGTCAGATTCATGAAACTTGGCAGTTGTGTGTCCAGTTATAGGTCAGATATATTTCTGAAGTTTTGGTTGAATTGCTTGACAGGTTCGAGTAAGTCCCATACAACTCCAAAAGCTAATTTTAAATATTTGGAAAAATAATAAAGTCAGATTCATGAAACTTGGCAGTTGTGTATCTAATTATAGATCAGATATAGTTGTGAAATTTTAGTAGAATTTCTTGACAGGTTCGGGTACCTGCCATACAACTCCAAAAGCAAATTATAATATATAATTCAATGTATAATTCAATGGGTTTATAGCTACTGAAACGTTTTTACTTGTTGATTGCTATTTCACTAAACAATTTTCAAACAAAAGGATATTTTTCAAAATATTCATGCAAAAGAATTTTTTAAAATATCTTTTTCTATGAAAGTTTTGCAGTTTTTTTAGTTTTTGAATATTTTTGGAAAGCGGAAAAAAAAAATTTGGCAATATGAATTCATATCCTTTCATGGTATAGGGGTTAGAGTAACTTAAACTTAAGCAAAAAAAATTCAAAATTTGAAATTTTAATACGGCAATTCTCTTTAAATTGCTTGGAAGGTAATTTTTACTAAGAACGTAGTTTATTCTAATAATTCGTAACTTATAATATGATATTCGTAATTTTTCGATTTCAGAGTTACGAACGAAATTCATGATAGAGATGATAATTTACTTCAACTTGTACATCCCGAAGAACTGTCTGAGCTGAAAAAAATTTCAGTTCCTTGCATTTCTAATTTAAGAGTTTTATTGTAAATCCAAATTGGTGTAAAGCAATATTGTATACCGCTTGCTTCTTATCCAATTTTTTTAAATTTTAATTATATAAACTTGTAGTACATAAAAAGTAAGTTTAATTACTACCTGATTACCGTTTCCTGGACGTACATTTTTATAAGGTTGAAATAAAACTAAAAATACTTTCGGAGCTAGAAGGCATGTTAAAACTGCTGTTGCACTTATATTTAAGCACATACAAAGACTGGATATTTGAATCTGTAAATAAAGTTAAAAAAGAAAAAAAAAGGTTCAAATATCAAATCCAAAAAAAAATATATGGAATAAAATTATTATATTTCCTAAAAATTTTATTTATTTATTAGTTAAATTCATTTAACTGACGCTTTTTAAATTTAATTAGCATCTGTCTTGACAAGTCTAAATTTAATAATTGTCTTAAAGGTTTTTTAATTTGTCAAGATCCGAATTCATATCAAGTTATGGTAGATATGAGGTTTATTCTTGTAAATTATCCCACGCTTATACAAAATCCACAGTACAATTAACGCTCCAATGTACAGATCGCTTACACTTAACCACATTATTGATCAATTAAAAAATAAATTACGAAGAGGGTGATATTATAACCGAACCGAGGTTATAATGTTCCTACCCATCCCCACCATTATAATTTGGTAGTTATCTAGAAACTAATTGACGAACAAGATCCCTGGAAAATTTCTAAAATGCTCTGATAGCCCACTCTATAAGTCCCTCTAAATCTTTGAATTTGGTTACGTTTACGAGTAAAAGCTTTAAAACAGCATAATACTATATATGATAAACTTACTTGATAATCATTACGTGTACCAAAATATATTGGTAAAAATGCCAACCAAACAATACATGTTGAATACATTGTAAATCCAATATATTTCGCTTCGTTAAAATTTTCTGGTATCTTTCTCGTTTTAAAAGCATATATTGTACATAATGCTATTAATATAATATTATATATTAATGATAGTGCTAAAGAGAATGATGAAACTTTACACGTTAAAACGGCTGTTAACGGATATGGATGAATTTCTTTAACATCTGGTATTTCAATAAATGACCATACAATTGAACCCAATAATTGTATACTAACTAAAACTGTAAATAAATTTAAAAAAGAGAAAGAAAATTGTCAAAAAATCATTAAATTGTACCGCTGATTCAGCTTCAGCAAATTATTAAAAAATACATATTATTAAGAATATTCCTAGCTTCAAAACTGTAATAACGGTATAATTACACAATTCAATGATTAAAATTCTTAAGCTTTATTGTTTGTTTGTAAACTTCTTTCACAAATATATACAATTTTGAAGCAAGCATATTCCTGACATTCTTGTAATCCCCGAAATTCTTTTTTCAGAGGCTTTTTAAATTTAAGGCAAAAAAAGATACAAAAGAATTAGATAAAACTTGTAAAATGACAAAAAAAACAACTTACCGACAGAAAACCATATTTGTGACTTTGGTGATATATAACCGGGTCTTTTAACTGATTTAACCCCATTATTAAATATACGTGATATACGGTTTGTTTTTATAAATATTGCAGAATAACAAATACTTAAACCAAGTCCTAAACTTATACGTAATAGTGTACAATGTATAACACTTGGTGGAGCTAATATTATAAATGTTGTACAATAACAGCATAAGATACCGCAAAGTAATACATAACACAATTCACGTCCCGAGGCCATTATTACAGGTGTTCTATTATATCTATATGATAAACAAAAATATTATTAGTTTTCTTTTTTCTTTTGTTTTTTTAAATTTTAATATAGACATTTTAGAATGTATAAATACTAGTACTCGTATAGGTATTTCCTATAAGTTGAGGTTTATTTTGAGCACCAAAAGAATGCATTACATGCATTAATAAATTTTACACATAAAAATTTTTTGGGTACTTTAAATGTACAAAAACTTCATATATAACGTAGGAACTTCATATACGCTTGAAAATTAAGCAATTATAATTTCTCTGGATTTTTACAAGTGAATAATTAATAATGTAATTTCATTAATCAATTTCAAATGTGTGAATAATTAAAAAAAACCCTCACTATTTGTATTATGTTATCATAATACAAATCATATGGTCTATATTTTATAGCATAATCTACATTTAATATTTTATATTATCTACATTATCGACGATATTACGTAGATTTCAGTTTATTTACCAAATTGATATAACTACATTTCCCAAAATATAACTCATGTCATTTGTTACTATTTACGTGTATATGTTTATACATATATTTTTAAACACTAATAGTAACCATAAACAAATAGGAAAAAAATGTATATTTAAATAAAATGTAGGGAACTTACGCTATAAAAACACTAACAGTAAAGAATGTACAAAATATTCCAATTCCTGAAAAGCATATTGGTACTAAAGCCCATGGACTCATCCAATCGATTACTTCTGGTTTTAATTTAAAACAACTTGTTCTATTCGTGTCTGGTGCCCAACCTGGTTTACATGTTTCACATGTATCATTTTTAACATATGCATCTTCACGGCATCTAACACATGACCAACAGCATTGATCCTGCATATAAATATGTATATTTTCAATTAAAAATATTACTAAATAATTTTAAAATAGAAAATTATATAATTCAATTATACTGAAAATAAATTATATGAAGTATAATTCAATTATACTGAACATTATAAGGTAAACACTCAATCAGGCAATAAAAAAGCATACTAATTTGCAATCTGTTTTTTTTCAACAATTTAAACTACTTAGTTTACAAAAAAAATTATTATTTTGACTCATAACAGTCATAACTGACTCATAACATATCTTATATGTATTATATAAAATAGGATTTCCTTAAATATACTTATTTCAGTTACACGGATTGAATTTTAAAACTGGGTTGCAATGTACAAAAATTCGATATTGCGAAATTCGATTTTCGTACATTGAAATTATAGTAAGTTTGTTTTCTAAAAATATCCATCTTTTGGTTCGAAATGTCACTTACAAGTTATTTGCGAAACCCAACATAATTCAAGTTACACTTAAAAGTTCAATTGAAAATCCAAAGATAATTCCAAATGAAATTATATTAACTATTAATAGAATTAGTATCTCATTAATTATTGTATAAGTAAAATATGACTATAATTTGAGTAACGGTGGTCGTTCTATTATATTCCAAATCTATAAGGCATTAAAAAAATTAATTCTGAAAAACATCCTAACTTTAAAACTGGAATAATTTGGTTTTTATACACAATTCAGCATTACAGTTTTAAAGCATTTTTGAAGTCGTGGAAAATTACTGTTAATATTAAAAATATGAGCAATAAAAAAAGGAATTTTTTTTTCTTAATTAATCTTATTTTTGAATTTAACCTGATGATTTCTGACATGTCCAATTGGGCACGGTTCTGAACATACTAATCTTGGTACAGGTCCTTTCCATCTCATTGTTGAAATATCTAAGTCTAATCTGGAATTATTAATTGCAAACAATTTATATTTATGTACACATAATAAATATTATTAAAAAATATAATTACTCTTGTTTCCAACGTCCGATTTGAACATAATCATATTTTGAGTCGCCAGTTTGTTGATATTGATAAATATTGTAGAACCCATAAGCATCTCCATCTTCATTGAATCGAATCTGCATATTTATTATTAATACTTATCAATTAATTAATAATTACTTATCAGGGTTTAAGGATAAAAATTTATTTAGAGAAGGGAACTCTAACATTACACATTATTTTAAAAAAAATATTTGTTTTTGCATATATGCAATTACAATTGTCGTGAAAATTATGCGCAGCTGATCTTTAAACACTTTAAAAGATATTTTAGATGTTTTGCTTCAGAATAAAGAAACGTTTCATCAACTAAAAATAATAATTTAATTAGAAAAACCTAGTTTAACTGAAAAGTAAAATTTGTATTCAAACTTACTTCAGTAACTAGATTTATAGAATTTCACCTTAAAAATGCTTAAAAGGTAAATATAACGGACATAATGTATGAAAATTACAAATAAACAGGAATATACGTAAACGATAGACCAATGCATGTATGGGTTGAAGTATTTCAAAGAATGATTCTTTATTCAATTCCAGGGATGAAAAAAAAACACACTTACCGTATTACCTTGTTGCCCCACAAACGATACTTTTCTTATATAACGTAATAGATTATAACCAGTCGCTTCAGGTTTAAAGACTTCACATTGATTAAATGCTGAATCACCACAAATGTCAACTAGGAAATTATGCACGGCATATGCCATTGCGTAAACGGCATCCACTTAAAATAAATCAACCATTACTTAATATAAAAAAATGTAGTAATATTCTTTTTGTTAAAAAGAAAAGTTTAGCATATAAATGCTAATTCTTAAGTTGTGCAGTAATACACTGTTTAAATTGATTATGAGAGAATTATAAATTTTACACCTACCTACGAAAGGTACTAAGCCTTCTTGTTCATAACCAATCAACTTTTCTAAACCACTACATATTCTTGTTGAATTTTTATCAAAACCGCATTTGTTATGTTGACTCCAAAATTCATTAAACCATATATTACGACAATTAATCCATGTATCTTTATCAACTAATGCTGGTTGATTACGAGAAACACCGCTGTTTGAACATGATTCTTGGTTCATCTTTGGTCTTAATGACAAATAATATTCATCAAATCCTAAAGCAACATATAAAAAGATGTATAAATGTTTTTTCAATATAATTCCCCTAATTTATAATTGACATACCTTTCAAATTTGTTCGTTGTGGTAAAATTGTAATCGCATTTACGGCAGCAATTTCTTGCTCGCGTACTGGATAAACTTTCGCACCCCATGAATCGCTACCAATCCAATAAAAGTAGCCAACTTTATTGGCTCGGATCGTTGCATGTAGCAATTTCCTAAAATTGTTTTTACATATAAGAATTTGAAAATAATAATATAAAAATTGGCTTTAGCAGGAATTATCGATAAATTCGTATTTGAACTCCTATTTTGTATATTTGAACTCCCACGTACTACTGTACTTCTTCTCCGCTATTCGTACTTCCCTTTCAAATAACCGGAATATGAACTCTATAACATTAAAACAATTCTATGGGAGTATTGAAAAGGTAAAACTCAATTCAATTTAAAAAGGAAGTAGGAAAACCATTTTTTTTAGTTTCATTAAAATAATACTATAAGTGAAAAACTTTACTACAGTCAAAATAAATAACAACTATTTAAAAAAAATGAGCTATCTGAAACAAGATATTGATTTATGTTTAAAAATTTCACGTTGATTTTTTGTCAGGAAACTAGCACAATGGTCGTAGATTTTATTAAGAACAACTAACTCAAATAGTTACATGATGCGAAGACAACCAACATTCTATAATGTTTAAAATAAAATTAAAAAAGGAGTTTTAAGAGTACTGGAGCACCTTTGCAAAAACAATTTCCGGAATACCATCATGGCCAGAACCTCCATGATCTTTACATGAAATAATTGTAACATAATTAAACATATACTTTTCTTGAATTTCAAAGTACAGTATTAATGAACAATTCAGCAATTTATATTTATAAGCTGAATTTTAGAAGTACAGGATTAATTGTGTTTACTCTAAAGTATTGTAATATAATCATAATCATAAAAATAAAATATACTTATTATAAAATTTATTTGTGAAAAACTTCTTACCTAATATTATCTTCATCTACGAACATTATAACAGCTCGTGCTTTGCTATTATGACTTAAATTTTCAATAATTTTATCAAAATCTTCACTTTTTGCATTTCTCGCAACTTTTTCACTTACTGCAACACAAATACCAACAGTCGCAGCTATTTGAACAAATGATGCAATACCCTTAAATTTACATATAACAAAAAAATTGAAATAACTTATTATCGACTCTATTATATACACAAAAAAAATTATTGTTTTTAAGTTAAGTATGAGTTATTTTTATTAACTTACTTTTTCACCATAATCACCTTCTACAGCAACTGTATTCACATAGTGCCATTCAAGTGCTTGTACAATTTCTGCCATAGCTTGTGCCTGAAAATTATCTGGTGGTACAACACGGCTAAAATATTCAAAACGTGATTTATCTGATAGTTCAGTACTTGTTGATGCATAACTTATTTGAGGAATCTGGGAACAAAAAAGCTATTTGAAGAATCTGGGAACAAGAAATTTTTCCATTGTTTTCACCTTAAATAATCGCAAAATATTTGCAACCATTATTGATACAACTGAAAACGATGCTCCAATTACACCAGAAACTGGTTTATGTGGTTTAAATAAAGGGGGTTTTCCATTCTCACAAACGTATTCAGACATATCCTGTATATAATAATAAAAATATTAATAAATAATGAATTTGTAAAAAATTTAATTTAAAAATTTTACAATAATAAATAAATTAAAATAAAGTAAAAAATTATACATAATTAATACAATTGAATAAATTTAAACTAATTTTAGACACCTATTCGGAGAAGATTCGTACTACTAAATATCATTCATTTAAGTATAATATAAAAATTTTAAACATGTATATGTTCAATTATTAATTTCAAGTGTTAGTCATTTATTTCAAAGAATTCAATTAAAATCTAATATTTTCAAAGGTTGAATTAGGAAAGACGATTGAAAGCAAATATCTTTTTGTCTATCCAACCGATGACTGCCACATGATGTATTAAAGAACAGTTCCAAACTAGACTCATTCTGCTGCCGTAAGTTTCTTTCATAGATCGACACTATATTAGTGATGTTATATGAGTTTATTAAAATTATATTTGAAATACTTCACGTTCTTTATTCCTATGCAACCAGAAGATGCATATACGCTCACATAAACACGAAAGAGAATTTTTCATATAATATGCATCTCTTGACAATAATCGCTTCACTCCGCCAACTGAAATTCCCTCAACAGAGTTATTTTAATGTAATTCATCTGTTCATTTATTTACCAATAATTTTCTATGAACCAGAATCTTAAACAGTGTTTAATTATGATAATCGAAAATTCTATTAAATTTTCATAGAACGAAAACTACCCTGACAACCCTTTACTACTAGTATGTGTTATATGTAAGTTGGCATGTGTTTTATTTAACAAGCTATATATATTGGTGTATTCTGTGTTTCTGTTGGAACTTACTCGAATTTCTTAATATTACTCCGGATATTAATTTTCCCGATTCATTATAAAATTCTATTTGATCAAAAAGAGAATCGATCAAAAACTGTTCCTTTTTTATCTTAATGAATTATTTAAAATTTCATTATCAATTTTTAAAATTTCAAATGCATATACATATTCATATGCTTAATATTTATAGTTTAACTGTAAATATAACAAATTGTAGAGTTGTACATGTGATTGTGAATATTGAATTTATTTTATTTTCATATATACCTGGTTCATATAATATCGTACAAATTCCATTGATTGTTCTAAAGCATATGTATCACTGCTACATGAGTCAATAATCAATGCACCTAATGTTATATTTGGTAATATATTTGAATCATTATTAATTAAATCAATTGCATATAACATTGCTTCTAAACGTTGAACACCTTTTTCTTCTTTAATAGCACCACATGGGTATTCTTTATTATTAGCATCATGCTCATGCATTGGAAATATACCACCTAATATAATATCACCACTAGTTCGTATTATTTTACCTTCATGATCTAAATTATCACAATTAACAAATTGTGCATTGAATTTTAATATAATTAACATAAATATCATTATAAAATTATATTTATTATAATTTATATAAATATTATAATTAAAGTAATTTTTACTATTATTTTTTTTATATTCGAATTTTTGTTTAATAATATTTTTTGTTTTATTATTATAATTATTATTATTAACATTATTATTGTTCTGGTAATTATTAATGTTATTAATTTTACTATAGTTATCGTTACTATTACTTTCATTATTATTGTTATTATTATTATTATTATTATTATTATTATTACTTTTTTTATTATTATTGTTATTATTATTATTATTATTATTATTAGTATTATTATTATTGTTATTATTATTATTATTATTATTATTATTATTATTATTATTATTATTACAATTTTTTATTTTGTTACTTGTAATAATAACACTGTTATTTTTATTAATATATTTTTTATACTTATTAATATTTTTAGTTTTAATGATTTCATAATTGATTATTATAGTTAATTTAATTATTATAATATCATTATAATTATTGTTATTATTATTATTGTGTTTATTAAAATTAAAAATAATTTTATTATATTCTTTTCCTATACAATTCCTTTTATTAAAATTATTATAGATTTTTTTATGATACATTAAATTTTTTGATAATATATTAAGTTGAATATTAATAATATTATTTATTTTAATATATTTATGGAGATATATCTTTATTTTATTGGTGGGTTTTATATTTGTATTGTTATTTTTACCACAATTATTTTTGTTATGATAATTAATCAACAAAAATTTAGTAATTACTATTTTGATTTTTTGCAATTCACTTATTTTGCAATATTTATTATATTGAAATTTTGGATTTTTAAAATTTTTTATTAAGGCTTTTTTTAATAATATTAATATTTGACGATTTTGTTGTAATTTCATTATTTTCGTATATGTTTTTATTATTATGTTCAGTATAATTAACAAATTATTTTGTTGTTTTTGGTGTTCTTGCTGTTGAAGTTGTTTTTCCATATGATGTTCATGTTCTTGATAATAATGTTTTCGTTGACAATTTTGTTTTTGATTTATAAAATAATTTATTTTTTGTAATGAAAATTTGTTTATAATAAAATGTATTATTATAATGAGAGGCGGTTGCTGTTGTTCTTCTTGTCGATGTTTTTGTTGCTGTTGTTGATATTTTATTATGTAGTTTCCTTTCGACATAATATATACTCCTTTTACAACACATATTTTTCTCATTACTTGTTGTTCTTTTTGTTGCTTGTGATGTTGTAATTGGTGTCGGTGTCGTTGATAATAAAATATAAATATTTCTGTTGGTTTCTTCTTTTGCAAATTTTTTAAACATTTTATGTAAGAATTATTATTATAATATATAAATAATCTTAAATATTTTAATATGAGCAATGTTATTAATATAAAAATTATATTAAAAATAGATAAATAATAAAAATCTAATAAATTTAAAATTATAAATAATTTATAATATTGTTTGTTATCATTTAATATTATATTATTAATTAAATAAGAATATATATAATTTTTTTTATTTACAATAAACTTTTTTATATAATAATGATTATTGGTATTATAATTATTATTATTAATATTATTATACAATTTTAACAGAATATTATCTATCACAATTTTTAATTTAACTGATTTGATAATTTTACTAATAATATTTATTGTACATCTAATTAAAGTTTTAATTATAATTAAAAAATTAAAATTAGTTAAATTTAATTCAAAAAAATGAATTCGATTTAAAAAAATTAAATACATTGGATGTTCTTTTTATTAAATATTTTTCTTGTTTTTAAAATTTTTAAAATGTATTTCTTGATTGTTTTAATAAATGGAATGTAAAAGAACAAATATATATAAACAAATAAATAAAAACTAGAAAAGAAATAGACCTAACAAATATAACAGAATTGTAACATTATAATTATTATAAATATTTTATATATTTAATACTTTATTATACTGCATTATTATTGATAATTGCATTAAATATAAAATTACATAAAATGCATGTATGTAAACTTTTAATAAAACTTTCTTTCTGATGTTCTGATGTTGTTTTTCTTTTTTTTATGAATTATAAGATTTATAAAAAAAGTGCTGAAATTATAGAAAAAAAATAAATAGAAGTTTTATACATTAAATTTTTTATAACATTTTCTTTTACTATAATATTTTACGCAGTGTGTATTGTCTAGTTAAGTGAAAGTGTTACAGAATATTATAAAAATGTCTGTTAAATACTTCTTTCCAATTTTTAGGACATTAGTAAACTTATAGTTAATATACCCAGAAAAATGTAAATTTGGCTCTGAGTAGAGTTTCGCTTTGTGCTAACTGAACTCACTGAAATGCTCGCCAGTTAGTTTTGGTAAGAACCAGAACTCAAATATCAAATTTCAAGAAATTCCATCTATTCGTTCCGTTGATATGGAACGAATAGATCTAAAAATTTAAAATTCCAAAAATTACGAGAAAAATTGGAAAGATGTACTTAACAGCCATTTTTAAAATATTCTGTAACACTTTCACTTAAATAGACAATACACATTGCAGTCGGTTATGTGCTGATCGCATCAGATTTTTTATCTTCGGAGAGTAACAAAAGAAAAAAAACGAAAAAAAAATTTTTTTAAGTAACTCTCCGAACATTTTATATCATATTAAAAATTATACACAGATTTGTTGCAGAACTTTTTTATCTCCGTATTACTGTAAAACCCGATTAACTCCGCTTTTAACATCGTTTTCCACATACCACCACAAAGTTTCATGGTGCCATTTTATTCCCTATTTACTTGCATGTAAAGGAATTCTTTTAAATGCATTTTTTTAATAACAAAATTTTACTTTAGTGCTTCAAATTCTGAAGGCTTTCTTCGTTTTCATAAGAAAAAAAAGTTATAACATATAAGTTATGGCACAGTTATAAACCATCGCAGAAACAAAAATTTTTATTAACAAACTTAAACTGTATGTTACTAATATTTGCCAGTAATTGCAAGCATTTACAAAGAAATGCCGTTAACATATGATTTACACATTTTTCAAATTCAACTAATTGATTTAGGTATTATAAGATTTTTTAAATCTCATTATCGAAAAATAATAATAAGAAAACAATTGACGGCTATCGAAAAAGGATTGACTCCAGGAGAGTTTGGAAAATCTTCATAGAATAAAAATTTAGATAAATATGTACATGTATGTCATTACGATTTTGTTTTATTTCATTTAACAGCCCGTTTAAGTCAGTTAAGCGGGTTCAGCTAAACATACGTGTGCAGCCAAGAGATTTCTTTTAATTGTTTTTTAGACATAGCTGTCTAATTTTAAAGACAAAATAAGCGAGACATTTAACTGGGCTTTACTGTATGTTTATTTTTATACCCGTACGAACGTATGTTCGAAGGGTATACTAAATTTGTCTTACCATTTGTAACGCTAAGAAATAACGGTCTTAGATAAAAACTCAAGTGTATGTTTTTGATCAGCGTCAAATTCTGAGTTGATTTAGCTTTGTCTGTTCGTCCATCCGTTCCAATGATAACTCAAAAACTAATTGAGCTAAGTTCAGCAAATTTTCACAAATAATTTATTGTAGTAAGTGCTAGAACCCTATTTAAATTGGACATGATCGGGGTACCGGTTCAGGTAGCTGCCATACAACTTCAAAAGATATTTGTCTATATCCCAGAAACTATCAAAGTTTTAATATTGAAATTTTACGCAAGCGAATATATTATTAGGGCCAATGTGTTTGATGAGAGCTGTTGAAATTGCTTGGTTCCTTCTGGTAGCTGCCACACAACTTCAAAAGTTATAAAAGGCCATTTTTAGGGTTTTGGGGGGATATAACTTCTAGAAGGGGGAGATAGGTAAAAATTTTGTTCTACGGAAATAAGTTTCTAGTAGTGATCTATGTACATACAAAATTTCAGGTTTCTATCTTCAAGGGTGTAGAAGTTTTGTGAAAGACACACGGAAAGAGTGAAACTAATAAGCACTTTTTTTCAAAAATTTTTGGGAAAAGTGCTAAAAAAAAATTACTAATGAATGAAAAGCGGAAGTGAGATACAAGGGTATTAAAAATATGCAAAAGGTGTTTAAAAATTTCAAGGATATTCTTCATCATTTCCACTAGTTGATTTATTTAATTAAGAACAGTTTTTTATAATACAAATAACATATAAAACACAAGAATCAGGGAGATAGCTTAAGTCGTAGCCAGTCCCGCAGTCAGCTATACATATATTCTGAAAATTTAATGGAACGGCTGCACTGGTTCCAGTAATTGCCACACAACTCCGAAAGTTGATTTTGAATTTTTAGAAAAATAATAAAAGTAGATTCATGAAACTCGGCAGCGTGTGTTCAATGTCAGGTCAGATATATTTCCGAAGTTTTGGTGGAATTACTTGACACGTTCGGGTAGCCATCGTATAATTGCGAAAGTTGATTTTAAATATTTGGAAAAGTATTACAACTAGGTTCATGAAACTTGGTAGTCGTGTGTCCAATTTCAGGTCAGATATAGCACTGAAGTTTTAGTGAAATGGATTTTAGTGAAATGCTTGTTTATGTTTGGTTTTACTCGTAAACGTAAGTAGCCAAAAGAGTTTTTATGCATTTATATTGTGTTATAATAGAAAAGTTATGCATATGTAAATGTGTACATATATATATAATAACTAGGGTTCAATTCGTTTACAGCCGCGGTGACCGACACATCCGTTATAATGTAAATGAGGAGTATTTAAAAGGCATTTTCGTAGTCTCATGCAACATTTTAGCTAAACTAGCCACTATCTTGCGGTCATGTGTTCGTATCCGATTATTTTTTGATGTAAATCAACATAATGCTTGCAAAAAATATTATAACTTATTGTGTTAGTTAATATGTTAAGTTTATGTAGAACCTAATGTGCATATTACATCTGTATGTTTAGCTTCATTTCAATATAAATCTATTCTTGCAGAGCATTGCTAAATTATTCATACTAAACATGTGATTCATGTGCATTGTACTGGTACTAGAGCCAACCGATAATGTAGCGGGGTGAATCTTGTATTT